TATTTTGTCACAACACAACTACAGAGTGTAAGGCAAGTGAGAAAGGATTTTTTCATGCTGTGTAAATAAACATCATACTTATTGTCACAAGATATTATGAAGGTAAAAATATACCTTTCAAAAAGGAGTAGTGAAATTCAAGTATCCACAGCTTCACTGAGCAGTCTTTTCTCCCTGAAAGTTTTATTGATACCTTATGAGGCATAAAAAAATGTTTTTTTCCCTACATGTCCACTGTTGTTAGATGTTGGAATCAGTATTCTGGGTAAGGTAAACTTCTGGTCTGATTTAGGAAGGTGTAACTTCTGAAATCCTCCCTTATATTCCAGATTGGTTAGCTCATGACAACAATTCTTTCTGGCCTTAGAATTAGCAACAAGACCCCACAACATTGTATGCTTTGTTGTCTGTAATAATAAATTAACAACCTACTGGTTTTCTTCTTGTAATGCCTGCTGTTGTTGGTTGAAAAGGGGATTGGCAAGTGTAAGTACAGAAGTCAAAAAGAAATATTAATGCTTTTTGTGTTGAAAAGCATTCAAAGTGTTGTTGCAATTGCCCACTAAAGCAGCAGAACATGGCTATGGTGGAGTACTGTGTTCTGTATGTGTGTAGAATCAGCATTGCATGAAAAGCTTTCTTTCAAGAACTTCACTTCTAGTTATAAAAATGCTTTTTGAACTAACAGCTTTCTTCTGCTCAGTAGGGTATGATATGTTGGACGTGTATGTTGACCTGGAACTAGCAAGGAGATGACTAAGTAGGAGGAAAATGGTTTTAACATACCTCTGCTTTGCCAAGGAATATGGAAACAATAACAGATTTGTCAAGTCTGTGGTTCAGCTCGCCTTGTAGTGATATATGAGATTTCCCTGTGCACAACATACTTGGTGTATTGAGTTGTTTTGGTTTTTTTTTTCCAAAGCATCATTGTGCTTTAGAAATGTGACTATTTCTTTGTCCCAGCTACTGTTTGTCACCTCCTGGTCATGCTGTTTACTGACCAGATGTGTGAGTAGGTGGGAGATTTGACGTCTCATCATCATGGTTGGCACAGAGGTGGTCTGTGGTCTTTGTTGTTTTATGGTGTAATTGGATAGCCAGGACTGTGCAGTGTTTGGCACTTGCCAAACCTTTCTGGTCCATGCACTAGAGCTGTGCAGGAGGCCTTCTCCTGCTCTTCTGTTCCTGTTTTCTCCTGCCATGACACCCCCGTGCAGCCCTCCCTCCTCATGCTGGGGTGTGTTGTATCACTCATATTCCAAGCAGCTTCTTCCCAAGGTTTCAGACAGTGCACAGAGGATTTCTGGTGTGCTTCCTTCTTTGGGAGAGAGCCAGCAGCTTGAAAAGTGAGTATTCTGTTTAATAAGAAATGAAAGCTCTCAATGCTGTTTTCTTTTCATTTAAGAGCAGAACTGAGCTCTTGCGGGGGGGTGGGGGGGAGCTGGGGAATAATAATCCCACAGAAGAAATCGCAGGAACACAACTTCCTCAGTGCAGAAGGGATAGTACACCAGTGATTGGTTTCTCTGAGATGTGCTGGTGGCCAGGTTCAAGTTCTGGATGTTTCAGGAGTAAGCCTGAACCACTCAGTGACCTCTGTCACTTCCCTTTTTGGCACTTGTAAGAGTGACCTAATAAATGCATTATTGCAACAGATGGGATCTCATATCCTCTTACAAACCACATGTAGACCAGTCACTGAGGGATGGCACTGTCAGTGGAGAGATCACAATGTGGGACAAGGCTTTAAGAAGGAAGCAATGATTTTCAAGAGGAGAGATTTTTACTAATACATTTGCTAATACATTTTACTAATAAATTTGCTAAAAAACAAAATGCAATGAATTAATTAAATCATAGAATAGTTTTGGCTGGGAGGATGATCAGATAGTTGAGAGGTTTTGGTTGGGAGGATGGCAAGATGATCTGTGAAGATTGTCTAGTCCAGCCACCCTGTCATGGGCAGAGACATCTTTCACTCCCTTTCACTAGATGAGGTTGCTCAAAGTCCCATCCCAACCTTACCTTGAATGTTTTCAGGGATGGGACATCCAGCTTCTCACCAACCTCATGTTCACAATGTTTAAAGACATGTTTACAATGTCTTCCTTATGTACAATTTAAATTTCTTCTGGTTTAAAACTATTGTCCCTTTTCCTATCCCTGGTAAAAGTCTGTCTTTTTCACAAGTCCCTTTACATATTGATAAGGTCTCCCTGGAGGTTTCTGTTTTTCAGGCTGAACAACTCCAGCACTCTGTCTTTCCTCACTAGAGAGGTGTTCCAGCCTTCTGACCATTTTTGTGTCCCTCCTGTGGCCTCACTCCAGCAGATCCATGTCTGTCTTGTGCTGGGTCCCCAGAGCTAGATGCAGTGCTCCAGGCGGGGTCACATCTGAGCGGGGCAGAAGGGAATGTTAGTAAGAAATGTTAAGATTTATAGCAAGGTTAGTAAGTGGTTACAATGAACTGCAAAAAATGGTGGATTGACCTTCTGACAATGGGAGTTCCTGCCAGGCTTCGTGGGCTTTTTGGGTTCTTGTTTACTGTACTTTTTCTTTTCTTGCAACTTGAAAATGATCTAAATTGTTCTCTGGTATTGTCAGCGTTACCCCAGAGGTCTTCGGAGAAACTAATTCCTTTGGTTTCTCCCTACTGCATCACCCAGAATAATAGCATAGTCTATCTTTAAGCAGCATATGATGTTTTTTTTTTGTCCCTAGTCCAAACATTTGTACTGGATTGTATTTCCCTCTCTGCTTCTTATGAAGGAATTCCAGCTGAATAGGAAATGTCTCCCTTCACTTGAGCTTGTGTTTTCAGAATAGAAATTGAGAGGCTTAGGTTTACTCATTTTTGTTTTAGCATTATGTAACTTGTGCAAGGCTGTAAGTACATGAGTCTAAATAGCATGTTCTTTATTAGCTAATTTTACAGTTCTTGGCCTGTTCCACTTCAAAATTCTCATAAGCAGCATAAGTTGGCCAAAGTACATACTTCATGTTAATTAAATCTCTCAGCGTCTAATTTTCTTTTTCCTCTTGAAGTTGGTGAAAGATTAGTAATAAAAGAAAATTAGTTGCCTGATAGCATCGTGTATTTGATCAGTGCAGAGACAGGATAAGTGCCTCAGGTGTATGGTGAACTCTTCATTCCTATGTGAACATTCAGCATATTTAAAAGTTGACAACATTATTTGAACATTCATCCTGACAAGATAATATTGTAAAAGATCCCAACTCATGAACTGAGGAAGCATTAGAATATCAAACATAAACAATTTTTTAAAAGTCTTATTTCCTTCAGTGGGTTTGTTCCTGTCACAGTTTTGTACTTTACCTGAAAGTAGATTTTAAAGATCTGGATCTAAGATTTTGTTTGAGATTATTCCCTCCGAAGTATAAAAAATAACTTGGCTGTTGCAAATACAGGGTTTTGAGACTAAATTGTTTGTTTCCTCTCCTGATCTCTTGACTGAGGCAACACAATTGTCATGGACAAATCAGTAAAACAAAATTACCTTTTTTTAAATCTCTAATGATGAGGTTTTGTGTAGAGAGCATTTGAGAGCCTCCTGGGAGAATAAGATGTTGACTGATGATGAAATGTAAACCTCTTTCTTCTTCATATTTGATGAAGTTACTGTCCTGGTTTTATTTTCATTTTGATCCGCAAATGTTTTCAAAAAGGTTTAACTTGCTCTCGTCATATTTCTGACTTGCTTCTTGGTTTCTATCTTGTTCTTGTGTTTTAGCAAGAATTTGATGTCACCACATGTAGCTTCCAATAGGCACAGGGGCCATTCAAAAAACTTTCCATTTTCCATTGAGGTACATTCTTAAAAGAGCTTTTCCAATCCAAATAACTGGCATTTATTGCTTTTTAATTGCTTAGTGTGATACTTGCTTACATTTGCTGTTTTAATGTCTTTTCCTGCCTGTAAAATGAGGGTCCTAGAGGGCAGTTACTGAATTCCATTTACATAGCTTGATGTATGTTTTGGGAAAAGTATATTGTGGGTATGTGCAGTTTGTCAGAGATGGTGTCCCAACAAGAAAAGTGTTGTGTTAATGCTGAAGGAAAATGAAATGAAAGTAAGTAAATGAAATAGCCAAAAAAAAAAAAAAAAAGGATGGCCTGAGAGCTTAGTATCATTTTTTCCAGCTGCTGTGGGGATGGCTGTCAGTGTGGCCCACACATGCTTGAGCTCAGCAGGCATTCTTAAGTTGCACTATGTTGGCAATAAACAATGGGCAGGAGAAATTTCTCTGGGAAATTTTGCTCCTCTGAATATTACCAGTGTCCCACTTTTAAGTCAAATGTCTTTTTTTTTTTTTTGATGAGCTTTTTTGTGAAACCTGGTCATCAAAGTAGGTAGGGATCTTAATTCCATATTAAAGAAACAAAAAGAGGTATATTGCTAGTCTTTGAGAGTGTAAAGAAAAGCCTTAGAAGGTAGAAGAGTCCTGAAGCTTTAAAAAAGGCAAGGTAGGCAAAATGCAGACAATTCACTCCTAATAATTTAACTTAAGGTGGGCCATGTGTTTACTCAGGTTTATTTTGGAGGACCAGTGAATTTTTAGAGCTCTGGTTTTGGCAGTGTGAGTCTGGTGAAAATAGCATGACTCCAGTGCCCTTCTGAGAATGCAACTCTTTCCTCTTCTGGCTTACATAAATTAGTAGAAGGCTCATTCTTCACAGTTTAGGATTGCTTGTGGAGGAGAAAGAACAGGACTTGCATATCACTGAAAACTGAGGAGATATGCATGATGGACCTGCATTTAGGATCTGTTTAGTTTCTGTCAGGGTGGGCCAAGCTCTATGGCGAACTGTTCTATGGACTGCTGTAAATCCAAAACATCCTTAAATGATTCTGAATTACCTTTTCATCACCCCTTATAAATCTTGTCTGCTGGGTTTGTTCTGCTGTCTCTTGGATTGCAACTGACCTAACAGTATGAACAGTCAGATTAATTCTGGGCCTTCTTTTGCTCTGCAGGACTCCTCAGTGGGCAGACGTCTCCAACCAACACCAAGCTGGAGAAGCTGGACCCACAGCAGGTGCTGCAGCTGTGCCTGCGGTACCAGGACCACCTCCACCAGTGTGCAGAGGCCGTGGCCTTCGACCAGAATGCACTGGTGAAGCGCATCAAGGAGGTACGGTGTGGGGAAGGGCAGGGGCTGTGCTCCAGGGCCACAGGCTGGCTGGGCTGGCTGCAGCAGCCTGCGGAGTAGCCTGGGCAGGCCAGAGGAGCCCTGTGGCTGTGCCCTGCGAGCCCAGTACTCAGGATGTCACTGTGGCTCTTGCCAGGCTGGATGTGTGCTGGCTGTGCCCCAGGAGGCCTGGCCGTGAACAGCAGCTGTTCCTCTGGAATGGCAAGTACTGCAAGCAGCTCTTGAAGAAGTAAAAGATTACTGAGCTTTTTAAGGTAGCATTCCTTATTTAGGTCTGTACAGCATACATTTTATTATGCTCCATGGGTAGGCTCTAATGTAAGGAAGGAAGCAGTTATGTGAACATCTTCTATGGCTGGAGAAGGTAGTACTTCAGTGGTTTGTAGAGCTAGGTTTGTTTTCAAACCCCATAACATGCCATATCATTTCTGACCTCCATGGCAAAAAGGTCTCGAGTGCTGCTGCTTTTACCACTAAACCACCATTTGGAACACTGATCTATTTAAATATTGAATGATACTGTTGGGATTGAATTAATTCCTGGGATGAGCATCCTTCAATGAGATTGTCTTTCTCATGTGTGACTACTTATGTTGGAAACAGTAGAATGGCTGCCAGATTTTATATTTTTAAAATCAAGAGTCTGGCATGACAGGAAAATATTTCTTGAGATGTTTTCTAGATACTCTCATGTGTGTGGAAGAGCTGGTGAATTCTGCATGTGTCAAATACCTTGAGACCAAATACCTTTTCAGTGTCAAAAAATGTTTTTGATCATGTTGTTAGCGTACAGAAACACACATAATCACAGGATATGATTATATGCAGGTGCTTTTATTAAGAGCACTGGGAATCAGGTATACAGATCCAAATCTGACTCTGATATGGCTTTCAAGCTGATTGTATTTTATATTCTATCGTTATATAACTTATATATTAATTATTAAACTTATATTGTTCTATTGCATACATTGACATGAGTTTCTCGTGATCTTTCTTAGGTCCCTGACCACAGTTTCTCATGATTATTCTTATGATTAAACAGTAATTATATTTAATTACTAAACAATCATCACATCTAACAATTATATCATTTATCATGTACTAGCTCCACAGGTGCAGTTCTAGCAAATACTAGTTCTTCATGTGCTTAAGGTATTTATTTTTCCAGGGCCTACTAAGCTTATTTTCCTGTTAACCCTAAATCTCCGTGATTTTAAAACCCTTTTACTATCAATGTGGTTAATTTTTATTCACCAAGTATAAACACTGACCTTGATTTGTTGTTGCTCTATTGGCTTAGAGTTAAGAAAACCCCACATGACAATCTGGGTAATAAATTTGATTCGTGTGCTGTTTTGAGAAGGTGCTGTCATCCTGAAGTTGTACGTCCAAAGTAATGTGGGAAACATTAAAAAGGGCTTTTTTTGGTGTATGAAGATCTGATGTCAGCTATTACACAAGATGTAAAGATGTTGGTGACTCAGATCACACATTCTCAGAAATGGGATTTAATTCCCAGCCTAATGACAGTGTACTGCATTAATCCAAGCAGATTGTAATTATTTTGGCTGTTAAAGTGTGACAGGGAATAGTGACATGATTTAAAGTCATGGTAGACACCACCAGAGCAATATTCATTAATTGGGTTTGCCTTCTACAGGGCAAGTGGCAGAGTCCCTTTCAAATTAGCTATGCTGGTTTTCTTCTGGTTTATAAGGCTTGTGATTATCTTTCATCTAAAATAAATTATGATAGTGATATTCTTACTAGCTTCTTTATAACAGCCTCCTCTGACAAATTGGTGGAGAAATGGGGAATTCTGTAAGTCAGAGAACTGACAAATCAGCTGTGGTGTGTTTTTGGTTGTGTGGTGGTTTTTTTTTTGGGTTTTTTTTTTGTTTTTTTTGGTCGCAACTTTTAAGTAACTTCATATGCTTTCAGTCCCTCTGCCAGATCTGATGGGTTTTTACTGTTCATTTTCCTAATAATTTTTAAATGTTTTTCTTGCTTTGGCTGTTCCACATGTGTGTTCTGGAGGATCTGGTGGCTGGGGGAGACCCACTTGGCTTAAATAATTCCAAATTGTTTGGGCTCTCCTTGATGCAGTAAATTGAACCACTGCTGACAGTTGTTGACAACCCAGGGTGCAGCTGAACCAGAGCAGGGGATATCTCTCCTTAAAAGTGTAGACAAAGGAAATTGCCTTTGGCTTCACCCATTTGTCAGCAATGATTTCGTTTTGCCATTTGCACAAAACTTTGACCCTTAGTAAAGCGTAAAAATGAAAGAGAAAACAAGTGTATTGTGAAAATCAGAATGTGTGCACAAGCTGGGACGGTAAATTCTTTTATCCTCATTTTGGTAGTTAGTATTTCCCTTTCTTTAACCCTGTAAATACTGAAATGTTTTTCTTCTGATAATAGATTTGTCAAGTGACTGATGTTTTTAACTTTCTACAAAATATTGGTCAGCTTCAGTCTCTGATTTCCTACCATTTGTCTGAGGTATGTTCACTTCTCAGACTCTAACTGTACTAGTAGTCCTGCTGTATAGTATACTACACTCACATTGCCTGCAGCCAGGATATTTTGTCTTTCCTTGACAAGAGCAATTATCTTTTGTTCATTGCTTGTGTCACCAAGACAGAAGTTTCCTGGATTCTGTAAAAACTAAGTACTGCTGTAAATTAATTGGTCCTCAGTAGCTCAGAATTAACTGTGGTGGTTTGTAAATCTGCACACAGTCTGAATTACAATGGTTCTGAATAGGAAAGAGAATGAGCTAAAGAAAAAAACCTACTTGCATGACAGTAGTGACTGCAGGTCTGAGCAGACTCATCTATGCCTTCAGGAAGCTGTACAGTCTAGCTTTGCTCTCCATCCCATTTCCCAGTGTAGCCAGAATTTCTTTGCAGTGTTGGCTGGGTCCATATCTGCTCCTAAGTGTAGAAACCTGTGCAGCTTCCAGGTGGCTGTGACTGTTCTCTCTTGAGCAGAAATACATTTATCCAAGATATTCCTTGAAGGGGAAAGAATTGAAGCCATGATGGAGGGTGATTGACTCAGGTGCCTTTTTTCATACAGCAGTTGTTTATACCCGAATGAGTTTTGGTTTTGGGAGGGAGTGATTTACTTATGACAAAAGGTTTTGTCTTCGCTGTCAAGAAAAAAAAAAACGAGGATGTGCTTGCATCTTCTTAGGAAAAATAGTATAGATTTGCACTGTAACTCATTTGAAGTTTTGAGGAACTCCAGCTGCTGTGGGTTTGATAGAGCTACACGTGCTCTCTTCACCAGGAATGTCTGCTCCAGTTATGTGATCTGCAAAACAGGATTTTTGACAAGATTAGTTTGAAGGCAAATGTTGACCAGCTGTAAAGGTTTGAATGGGGAAAAGAAGCAAATAAGTGGGGAGAGGACTACATTACATTAAGTCCTTACCAGTGGAGGATATCTATTTTGGGTGCCAGAGAGACCATTTCAAGAGTCATGTGATAGGGGATGGTGAATACCAGAGAATGGGAAGCAAGCAGCACAAGTAAAAGCTGGGGAACAGAGCTAAATTTCCAAAAAGGGCCCATGATTTTGTGTGCCTTCAAAATAGTCTAGTTTCAGTGCCTTAAAAAAGGATGATTTTGTGCACAATGCACTAAGCTTCTCAAAAATCACATCTTACAAAATATCTGAAGGTAAGCTTACAAAACTTACTTTTCATGTGAAAACTGAGGCCTGTCTTCTTTCTGTGAAAGCAGAGAGGAAACTGAAAGCCCTCTAAGCTCCTTTCAAAGAAGCTTTGAGTGAAAAGATCCTTAGCATTTCTTACTAGACTTCCAGCATTGTCAATGGGACTGTGCTTTTGAAGTATCTGATGTATCCTTAAAGGAAATGTAGTTCCTACATACTGTGCCTAAAGATGTATTTGGAAATGGGTTACTGGAAGAGCTCTGATGCTTTGCCTTGAAAACGAATGTTCATGCAGTGTTATTTGTAGCTTTTATTATTACAACAGTGTTATAAATGAAAATTTGTCCAGCCAAATTTTAAATGAAAAAATAAAATATTTATTCTATCTAGCCAGCCACAAGGAAAGAACAGAGCCGAGCCCAGGGTTGGGCCTGGGTGTGCAACAGAGAGGTCAGCCTCAGAAGAGGTTTTCCTCTATGCCCACACACCTCCATCCTGGCACAAGCGGTTTTTATTGTGCCTGAGGCCAAGATTTCAGCAGTCAGTCTTTTCTTCTATTCAGAGCCCATATGTTAATACTCTTGGTCTCAGCGGGGGGAGACTAGTGTAAACGAGTATAATCTAACAAGTATTCAACATTATATATTTCATACAAGGAATGGTGCAAATTATGTTTATTACCCATAACAACATGAATCCCAGACTGCCAATAATTTTGAGAACAGAGCAGTTTTTACAATACAAGGTGAAATTTCAAATGTCTCAGTCTAAGCTGGCACGCATCTGTGGGGGAGAGTTGGGGGAAAACCCCCCACATTTTCAAATATAATAAATATTGCTTTTATATTTGCAGTAGTTAAATTAATCTTGTCCAGGCAGGCATTAATATCAGTCATTGGTTTGCCATGCAGCAAATTGCAGTGTGTGGCTTGTTTCATACCTATAAATTCTTCCATGGGACGGCTGGCTGTGGTAGGGACAGCTTGTAGCAACCTGATGTTCCCTGATGGAAATTTAAGGGCAAGGTCTCTTAAGGTGATGGTAAAGGGAAAAGCTGTCCTAAGTGCAGGAAGCTGTTCCATCATGAGAAATGAATTAGATCTGGGCCAGAAACTTCAGCAGGGCACTGCCTGGCTGGGGTCTATGTCAGCCACAGCTGCAGTGAGACACAAGGTGCATATCTGCTGTAAGCACACAGAGCTTCTACTGTGTGAAACACCATAGGCACTTCTCCTAACTCCATCTCTCCATGGGCAGAAAAATCTGAAGTGTCTGGGATTCATCCCATGCTCCAGT